CAAAAAGTGCTGAGTTACAGTGACCTCCCAAGGAGAAAGCAAGACTGGCAACGCTGGCTGCAAAGTCAGCCTTCTGCCTAGCGGAGCATCAGCACTGATCATGCTTTAATTATTATCCCTGCTCAAAATAAGCCTCATTCCAAGAGCCCGGCATGCCTCAGCACAGCACACTTTCTCCGGGTTGGGAAACACCTCCTTTCCTTTCCCCCCTTCCCCTGCTCTATCCACAGTCTTACTCAGAAGCAAGCCAAATCCCTTCCAATTATGTATCGTGATGTCTCCCCAGTGTTACACTAAATCAAGGCCCTTCGTTTCTAAACAGCATGGTTTATAACAAATTGTCTGTTAGACCAGACAGAAAGTGATTTCCTCAAACCCAGCATATTAAAGTGAGTACATTCATTCTGGTTGTAACACACCAAATGTGATTACAACAGACACTTTGGGGGCTTTTTAAGGCTAGTGGAGAAGAGGAGGATAAGCTGGAGGGGAAGAAAGAATTGACAAGTAGAGAAATGACAGAGAGAGAGGAGCAGCCACGCTGATTTCATTCCTCTCAAAACAAAACTCTTTGTGTGCTGTAGAAATGTGCTTTAGTTAACACCACCAGATAGCCAGAGCAGAAACTGCCGCTGCTGCTGCCTGCAACAAAAATTGCTCTATTGTGCTTCGAAACCCATTTCCTATAGCGAGGAGAACGCTCTCCAGGTAGTAAAAAAGCACATCTGAAACCAACAGGGCCTTATCCTGCAACTGTTGCTGGCTCAAATAATCCTCACTGCCACCAGGAGCCCCAACGAAATCAGTGTGAGTGAGGATTACAGGGGACTGTATCAAGGTTGGGGGATTAGACTGGGATTATCACTAACACCAGTAATTCCCCATCTTACTGATGGTGGCCACCAGCTCAGGAGGTAGCAGATCCCCACGGACATTACCCCCATGGCCAGACCTGGGCCTAGGGCTTGTCACTATGTGGGGACCCAAAGGATTCCGCCTTGACCATCTCAAACCTACCAAAGCAGCACCAGAGCAAGGCCATGCCTTGTCCTCATTCTGTTTACAGTCTAAGGGCAGTGCTGCTGCTTACCTTCCCTGCTGCTGCCAGAGCAGAGCCATCTGGACCCCCAGAGAGCATCAATCCCGTACCTCCATGCTAATTCCACCTCTGGAATTCCCCCACCCGTTTCACACCCCCTTGTCTCTCCCATGCTGGGTCTTCCTGGGTTACTGTGGCCCCACGTGAGAGCAAGGGGCAGAGTGAGCTGTGGTACCCTGAGGGATGCTCCCTGTTCCTGGGAAGCACACGATGCATCAGCACCATTTCCCAAAGCGGCACAGATTTTGGATGTCAAACTGCCTCTGAAAGCCATTGCACACACGGAGTTCTCTTTTAAAACCACCAAGTCAAGACCCAGGCATGGAAGTGTTACCCAAGGGTGGCTGCTCGACATGCGAGTCGTGTCCCAGGCATCCTAAAAGGCTCGGCATTGAGACCACTTTCCACACCACCCCAATGCAACCTGCATTTTTAGCAAGGAAGCTGCCTAATGGCTCCTGTTCCTTTTGATTTTTAGTCTCCTGGTACAACTTCCAGTAATAAACATGCAAAACCTGACAACAAGCCCTTTTGGTTTCAAAGCTGACTTCTCCTCCGGCACAGCGGGAAGACAAAGGAAAGCCCTCGGCAGCAGCAGAGCTCTGACCGGCAATGCCCTCACAGCTCCGACATGTCCCACTCTCCCTCCTGCTAAACAAGTCCAAACACTAACGGGGCCCAAGCCTCCTGCTGTCAGCCACAATCACCAGAGCTGCTCATAACACTTTCTGCCATCACTGCCTAGAGCCGCGAGGATGCTCAAAGGCCACAGGCAGGCATCCCTGAGTGGTACCCAAGAGGCCAGAACCGCCCTCCCCCCCCGGGATGTCCCCCACTTCCTCCCGATGCACACTTGGCAGCCAAGCCCTGACCCAAAGGGAAAAGCTTATCAAGGATAATCCCAAACTTGTTTTGCAGCCCCTGTTTAACCCTTCCTGTATCATCAGGGGAAGAAAGGGAGCACCAAGGAGCACAGTTACCACCAGCATAGCACCACAAGCCCCGGGACCTGCCACCACGGCAGGGAGGAAACAGTTCCTGAAACTCCACAAACAACCCAGCCTCAGGGACTTGTATTTCAAGGTATAAGGCAAATAAGGCTCACATTAAAGACCAGCTACACTGCAAACCCGCTACTGCTTAGGACAGCATGTGTCTGCAGATGCTTACTCCCAGCCACAACCATCATAAGCTACATGACACCACCATTTACCTCGCTATTTTATCTTTTATCAACCAATACTTTGCCTTCCCATCAGGAAAAGTCACTCCTCGGTGAAGCAGTATCAGTATCTCCATGATGCTGACACCTCATAAGGGCTCCCTGGGGAAACGCCAGCAGCATCATCACCAGAGGCAATTCAAACCAGCCCAGACAAAGTCCCACTAGATGTACTGCAGGGGAAGGTTTGGCTCTGGAAACTCCGGGCTGGAATTGTATTTATTAAATCATCACCACCTGGAGGTGTACCAATAGCACATCATCACACTGCAATGCTTGCTAAGGCAGCGACAGGCTGCAGTGAGTCAGAAGCTGTAACGGTCCTCTGGACATGTGAAAGCATCTTTAATGGAATTTCTGTGTCACCCTGTGTGCCAGGACATGGCTGTCACCCCAGTCACCACTAATCCTCCTGCCCCTTAGGTAGAACCCACACCACCAGCGAGATAATTCTCCTTCCAATAGCTGGAAGCGTAACACTGGGACTCTGCCAGAAAACCATAGACGTTCCCACCCTAACCCAAACTTCCAAACAGCCTCCAGTTGGGATTTCTCCTCCCCGTGCCCTGGCCCTGCCCTTTTGTCCAAAAGCATCCCCAGGGAGCAAGCAGATCCCTGCCAGGACATGCTGCTCTCCCAGACAGCATCCACCCCAAGGCTGCTGTCTGTTAGCAGGACTGGAGAGCATCCGCTGCTGGAGGGCAGGTTCTAAGCTGACACTCCATAGCACCCGTTACAAAAGACAAATGTATTTCTCACAGTGCATGCCACCAGCACAAGAGATGGGGATGGAGCCACAATGCAAATCAAGAAGCATCCCAGCTCCCTCACATGAGGGTGCACAGGGCATGGGGATCTCCACACGCTACCAGACCCCAGCATCGAGGAGGGACATGGGCAGCGCTGCCTCCTGCCCTCTGCTGCCTGCTAACTTCATCAGCTGAGCTATGACATTCCCAGTGGTCCTTCCCTCATTCCCAGCACCATAGAGCGCTGCCAGCATGTGCTGCTGGCTAATGCCAGCGTGGGATGGGTTTTATGACTGCATTTTGTCTGTAGCAATGAATCACAGGCTGACAGGGTGCTCCATGGGAGCAAGGCACCAGCCAGAGATACACTTGAGACACCTCTCCAAAGGACACCGCTTGAGGAAGGCAGGAATTCCCCAGCATCCCAACAGTGATGGTCACTCACAGCTTGAGATGTGTCCCCCAGGCTGCTGGGTACCCTGAGCCCCTGCTGGCACTCAGTGAAGAGCACAGGCAAACGTGAGCATCAATAGACATCCCCTAATATATGAAGGGTGATGTTTCCCATCCCCAGCCTGCCTGGGGATGCTTCAGTAACAGCTCTTCTGCCTTATTTGACTACAGACAGGCGTATCCCAGACTGCTCCTATTCACACTTCGATGCAACATTCCTGCCTCTCCCACTGGGACATAGAATCAATCAGGCTGGAAAAGACCTTTCAGCTCATTCAGTCCAACCATTGCCCAGCACTGCCAAGGCCACCACTAAACCATGTCACTAAAGGCCACATCTACACAGTTTGTGAATGCTTCCAGGGACGGTGACTCCAGCACTGCCCTGGGCAGCCTGTTCCAGTGCCTGATTATCCTTCCCACTTGGGAGCAGAAGAGCCCACTCGAGCTCTATGGCTGGATACACGCAAGTAGAACATATTAGTGCTTATATCCAGGTCATATCCACTCTCAAAGCTCAAAGCTGCACCTCCACTTTGAGCAACGGACATTTGGGCTGAAGCATCCCAAAACTGGTCCAACACCCATACGTGACCTCTTGGGAGCTGGTTCTGCAGCCTCAGCAGAGGTTAAACACCAGGGTTCAATGAGCATATCGCCAATATACACAGAGCAGGATGAGAGAGGGCTGGCACAAGCCCTCTCCAGCAGCCCTGCAGGCTCCCAAAGAGGGCCATGCTCTGCTCTCCATAGCACAAGGATGAATGTGAAGCAGCTCCACTGTCTCCAGCAGCATCGTTTTGCATTTACACCAGCACACTGAACGCAAAACAGAGCGAGCCATAAATATTTCAGCTGCTTTTTCAGCTTTGTTATTCCGTTCAAAGCAGGAAACATGACAAACCTTTGATTGTTTTGCTTAATACCAAACAATAATTCAAAGAGAGACAAACAAGCAACATTAAATGATGCCTGTGATGTACAGAAAAGCCGATGAATTAGAAGAACCTGATGAGGATGGTGTGGATCCAAGCAGCACCTTTCCCTGCCTTTGGCATGCCTGCATGGTGAGGGGACAGCAGGGCCAGGCAGTGACAACGGGGCAGCCGCAACACAACCCATTGCCTCCAGAGCAACAACCACCAACACTACTTTCAACACACGCCTAAAAACCACCTGCGAAGGCAATGAGTGTCTCCTCCCTTGAGCATCTCCACACTCCAAACCCACTTGCAAAGCATCCACCACAGCCTGGCCTGGCCATGCCAGCACCCCTTGCCTGGGCATCTCTGAGGCTCTCTGCAGCGCTTGGAGGTGAAACATCCACCATGACCACATGTTGGGGCTACTCAGTCCCTTGCTCCAGAGCATCCAACACCCAAAGCTAGCATTGCCCATCGCTCAACACATCCTTTGGGCAGCACTTACACCAACAGCACAAACCTGCTCCCGATGCCCTAGTGGTACCCACACTCACCTCCGGCAGCGGCATCCCGTTGATGATGAGGTCGGGCTGCTGGGGGCTCTGCCCCGTGAAGGTGTGATGGTAGATGTGATTGGAGCCAGCGTTCCTGTTGTTCTGGTTCTCCACATTGAGGAAGGTGCTTTCGGAGCGGCGGCAGCCCAGCGGCAGGGTCTGCTGGTGGTAGTCGAAGTAGTTGAGGGATGAAGTGAGAGAGGAGCAGCTGACAACGTTCATTTTATCCGTCTCCTCCACGTCCCGCGGCACCAGGCGGATATCATTCTTGCTGATCTTCTTCTTCTTGCTTGATTTCTTCTGATGCCCATAGGAGTACTCTGCGATTCTGGGGGACAGAATGGAAATGAATTGCTGAGAGCATCCTGAACCTGCCCCGCTAAATACACATGCAGAAACCCAGAGGGCTTGGCCCCCATCTCCATGTAGGCTTCTTAGTCATGCACATTACGTCATGTTTCGGGTCTGGTAGCACGACACCATCTTTAGCTTATTTTCATATGTATGATGCTTTCAGGTCAAATATGGAAAGTAATGGGAAGGAAGAATATGCCTCTGGGGTTTTATCCTAGTGTTTGTGATTGCTGATATTTAGCTACTAGGAGTAAAGTCCAGCCTGCAGAGGAGAAAAATGGAGATGTTAAAATCAGTTTCCATGAACTGAAAAGGGTACCTGTATTCATTACCATGCAGACTAAGGATTCTAAACGGGATTTAATTTGGTCCCCACAATGCAAATTCAAAATGAATAGAGGATTTTTTTTCCCTAGTTCATTTTCCACAGCAGTAAATAAAGCAGACCCAGAAGCAGCCCGAGCTGGCAAGCTCGAGTCTCTCACACTCCAAAGGCTGTTTGTTTATTAATGCCTTACCCAATTTGCTGCTGTTTTGGCTATCTCCTGCTAATACCCGATAACCCAAAAGCTCTTCTCCAACCGCATCCTCTTCATCCCTCATCCCTGACATGCACACCCCTTTCTGCTGGGAGATGCTTTTTTGCCTCCTGGAAATTGGAGAGCAACAACCGTGTTTTGCAAAGAGAAATGATCCTTTTTGACCTTCTTTTTCTCTTTCCTCACTGCAAGCTTGTTTTTTCTCTTCCTTTCTTTCCCTCTTTCGCTTCTCACCTGCCAAAGGAACCGACTGATGAAGTGCCTTGTTTGCCTTCGCAAAGCACCAGAGGGAGAAAGTTACCCTTAAAACAGCAGCCGAGCAAATAACCATAAATACATGACCGCATCTCACAGGAACTGGGGATGCTCGGCTCAGAGTGCCTCCTTTCTCCAAATGCCAATGCCCCACAGATGGATTTGCACATGCACAGCACAGGGCAGGGCAGCTCTATGTTTCCCAGGGAAGCACATCAAACGCTACCCCCAGTCAGGAATGCACATCTGAAAGTGAGGACTTTGCTCTTCTCGTGGTTATGATAACAGCATTTAAAAATAAAGGGGGAAAATTCCCATAGCTGCAACAGAAATAATGGGATGAATAAATAACACAGTCTTATCTAGGAAGGCAAATATTGGACAAACCTTCTTGTTCCAGGAAGCTAATTGCCTGAGCATGAAAACGCCACCAAGTCGAACAGCTCTCATATAACCTGATGTGCCTCATAAGTTAACCCGTTTTATGCAGCCTCTCCAGCAGCTCTGCCGGGGAACCTCTCAGATAAGGCTCTGCAAAGCCCAAAGGCACACAGGCAGCGCGGGGAGAGGGTGCCCATGGTCACCATGAGCCTACCTGGTGCTTCTCCACCTCTGCAGCCGGCTTCTCCTGCTCAGATGCGCGCTGATAAGAGCCCGTGCATCACCCGGAGCGTGCAGATAAATCAGGGGAAGGCAGGGATTCCTGTTGTGCCACCAATCTATACGTTGCTGCCTCATCTAACAATGCTTGATGAAGCTTTGATTGTTCTGTTTGCCTCGATGTTTTAAGTTTGGCAAACGCGAGAGCCCAGTTATTTCCTGCAGGCATTCATTTTGCTGTCCCTTCTCTATTGACCAATTATTTAATTAAACTGCACTTCATTAATCCCAAAGCCATCACAGTGAACCCAGAGCTTATACCGATGTGTGAAGCTATTAGGGGCTACCCCCACGATGCGATTTTTATCCATTCAGCTCCTATTCTCATTGAACGGGCCAAGCTGGCAAGAAACCTGCTGGATGAGCTTTCACTTGAAGCCTGACATCCCATAATACAGCACAGACCGACCTTTATTTGCAATGATTTTTTTCCCCCATTGAGGGAAAAGGCTTTAAGCTGTGAAAACGGGGCATAAAACCCAAACTCTCCACCATTATTCCTGCTTAAATAAAAGTTTAAGGACCACACATCCCCCCCCCTCCCTGCACCGCAGAATTGCCGGGGGCCAGCGTTGCGTTTCCAAGGTAGAGCCAAATTAATTCCCATCCCTCCCCTCCGAACCGACTCGGAGCCCAAGGAATGGAGAAGTCATGGCTATTTCACTAGTAACAGGATTAAACCATTTATGAGGCATTGCAGCTGCTCTTTTATGGCATCTGATTGATATTCATGTGTGGTTAGCATTTGTCTCCTAACTTGTGTAACACAGAGAATAGTAAAAGAGAGACAATAATCGCCGGGCTGTTACATATTCAGGGGGATGGATTTCCCCTATCACCCTTTCAGCAGCACTGGGCACGGGGCTGACCTCCCCTCCGGCATTTCGGACCTAAGAGCATGCATCCAGCCAGGGCGAAATCCCTCCTCGGCCCCATTGCTCCCAGTCCAACCGGTCGTGCCGGGTGCCGGAGCAGAGGATCGGGGTGAAAAAGGGTGATTTGGGGCACTATTCCCTTCAGCTGGCCCCAGGAGGAGCCGCATCGGGTGCACAATGGCTCTTTTGAACAGCGAGCAAGGGCTCGGGGAAGGTCTGCAGTGGGGATGCTTCGGTGGTCGGGGGCTTCCCCCCCATTGTGAGCCATGGGAGAGGTGCTGGGAATGGGGGGCTGCCTGCGGGAACCAGCCATGCCGCTGGCAAAGTGTTGTCCTCCCGTTCCCTGCGACGGGGATGCTGCAACAGATTGTCAAGCTGCACGATTAAGTGGATCTGTTACTCGGCACGGATTTGTGCTCTCCTCCCAGGGAGCAATTCCTTAAAGCTTCGCAGGGAATTTTCCTAGAGGAACCTCACTTTTATCCCTAAAGGAAATCTATCCCCCTCCAGGCCCTCCCTTAAGGATACAGCAGCAAAGGGAAAAGTGAGCGTGGTGGCAAAAATCAAAGCAGGGTGCACAGAAGAAAACGAGGTCTTTACCTGCAGTTGTAGGTCCTGATTTCCTTGTTATCCCTTTTGCACTTGACTGCCACGAAGATCATGGTGACAAAAAGAATGGCTGCGATAGACCCCAGGGCAATAATGAAAATCAGGGAGAGGTTAACAGATCCTATGGACTCCTGGGCATCCAGGGCTGGAGACAGGTATATCAAAATCAAGGCGGAAGCCGACAGAGATGTTTTCCCATGGTCGTGAGCCACCACAATCAGCTCGTAGGCTGTCTTGGCATTCTCCCCAAAGGCTCTGGTGGTCCTTATCTCTCCATTGACCTGGTCTATCTCAAAAAACCCTCTGTCTCCTTCCACCATTTCATAGGAGAGTCTGCCATTTTCACCCTCGTCGTAGTCATCTGCCTTGACCACGGTGACCAGGTAGCCGACCCCTGCGTTCCTGGGGATGTACACCTCCGCCGTCCCATTGACCAGCGGTGGGGCTGTGATCACCGGGGTGTTGTCATTGACATCCAGGACAATCACCCTCACAGTGGCATTGCTCTGCAGAGAGGGGTTACCCCCGTCTTTTGCCAAGACCTTGAACTCAAAGGCCTTTGTCTGTTCGTGATTGAAGGACCTCAAAGCATAGATATCTCCAGAGTTGGGGTTGATGGAGACATAGGTGAAGACAGGCATGTCCCTGACTTGGGAGGGCACGATCTGGTAGGAGACACTGCCATTGAGGCCCAGGTCAGGGTCCCTGGCCGAGACCGAGAGGAGATAGGCCCCTGGGGTGTTGTTCTCCTGCACGATCACCTGGTAATAGGGCTTGGAGAAGTGGGGATGGTTGTCATTCTCATCGGTGATCTTGACAGTGAAGGACTTGGTGGCCTGCAGGGAGGGAACGCCGTTGTCCCTGGCCTGGATGGTGAGGTTGTACTGGTCCCTCTGCTCCCGGTCCAGCCGCCCATCCACCAGGATGGTGGAGAAGCTCTCGTACTCCTGGAGCCGGAAGGGCACGTTGCCCAGGAGCTTGCACTGCACGCGCCCGTTGGCCCCGGAGTCACGGTCCGAGACACGCACCAGGGCAATGACATACCCCGGTGGGGCGTTCTCGCTCACCTCCACCAGCTCGCTGTTGACAGAGAGCAGGTTGATGAGCGGCGGGTTGTCATTGGCATCCTGGACGCTGATGGTCACTTTGCAATGGGCGGGGATGGAGTTAGGCCCCAAGTCCTTGGCCTGCACGTCCAGCTCATAGACGTGACCCTCCTCATAGTCAATGGCACCGCTCACCGTGATGAGGCCGCTCTGCGGGTCGATCTGGAAGAGCTCCCGCGCCCTCTCGGAGACGTAGCTATGGAAAGAGTAGAGGACCTGGCCGTTGGTGCCCTCATCCGGGTCGGAGGCGTTGAGGCGGATAACCGGTGTGCCCGGCGGGGCGTTCTCAGGCACGCTGACGGTGTAGGCCGGCTCCTCGAAGAGCGGGTTGTTGTCATTGGAGTCAATGACGCGGATGCTGAGCTCCACCGTGCCGAAGTTGGGCGGGTCACCCCCGTCCAGCGCCGTGATCACGTAGCTGTAGTGGGACTGGGTCTCGCGGTCCAGGCTCTTCTCCACCACCAGCTCGGCAAAGCGGGACCCATCGCCCCGCGTCTTGGTCTCCAGCCCAAAGAGGTCATTGGGGGTGATCTCGTAGCTCTGCACACCAAAGCTGCCCGAGTCCGGGTCGTAGGCACTCTCCAGAGGCACCCGGGTGCCGGGGCTGGCCGTCTCTGAGATCTCCAGCTCAATCTGGTCAGTGGGGAAGCTGGGCGCGTTGTCGTTGAGGTCCTTGATCTCCAGCTTGATCACGCAGATCTCCATGGAGCTGGACATCACCTCCAGCGAGATGATGCACTTGGGGCTCTGCCGGCACAGCAGGTCCCGGTCGATCTTCTGCTTGGTCACCAGCAGCCCGGACCCGGGGCTGATGTCCACCAGATGGGGGGCCGAGTTGGAGACCACCCTGAAGGCAGCAGGCTGCCGGGGGTCCAGCACGAAACCGGCGTCCCGGGCGTCCTTGGCGACGTTGGCGATCACCGTGCCGGCCCGCTGCTCCTCCTCCACCGAGTACTTGAGGTTGACGAGGGCCCCGGCGCCGGCCCACAGCAAGGCGGCCCCCAGCAGCGCTGGGAGAGCCCCCATCGCCGCCGCGCCGCGCCCCGACGGCCGCCGGCCGCCCGCCTCAGGGCCCCGCCGCCCTCATGCGGGCAGCGCCCGCCGGGCTGCCCCGGCGGCGGGCGGGAGGGCGGGCGGGCGAGTGCGGGCACCGGAGCCGCGGTCCCCCGCGTCCACGCACCGCCGCCCGCTCAGGCACTCCGAGCCGGCAGCGCCGCGGAGGGGCCGGACATGGCGTGCTGGAGCGGGGCGCCGAGCACAGCCGAGCAGAGCCGAGCGGTGCCGAACCGAGCAGAACCGAACCGAACCGAGCGGAGCCGAGTAGTGCCGAGTGGTGCCGAGCCCGCTCCCGCCGGCGCTCGCTGCGGCGGCCGCTCGCCACTGCCCGCAGTCCGGAGCGCCGGCGGGCGGCGCGGGGGCGGGCGGCTGTGAGTGGCAGCCAATGGGCTCTCGGGGGCGGTGCCAGCGCGCCAAGCCGCAGCCAATGGGATGGCTCCGAGCCGCGCTGCCGGACGGCGGGGCGGGGCCAAGGCGGGACCCGCGGAGCGGAGCGGCCGGGAGCGGTGCGGGGCGGCCCCGCGGGGCCCAGCCCGCACCGGAGCCCCGGGGCTGCGGCAGCCGCTGCGTGCCCCCGGTCACCGATGGGTCCCTCTCCGGGGACCCCGCGGGGTCACCCCCAGCCCCGTTCAGTCGCTTCCCGCTCGGGAAGGAGTGAGCCCCACAAATGCGCCCCGGCTGCACGGGTTAGGTCCCACGGGGACCTGCGTGAGACCCGCGACTGCCGCGCTCTCCCGGGCGGCTGCAGCCTCGGCAGCGCTCGCTGCTCACTCCTGGTTACTGGGAAGCACCACGGTACCGGTTCCAGCCGCAATCACCCCTCCTTGCCTTACCTAGGGTCCCCGCCGTGTCACGCCAGCTCCCGGGCCAGCATTAAGGGGCACAGGGAAGGTGTCCCCGGGCCTGGAGGCGGGGCTGCCCCGGCGCTGGCGGCGCCCAGCCTGGAGCCTGCCGGCTGCACACCCTCACACACGCCGTTCTCCTCCCGGAGGCTCCAAGCTGGGGGGGGGGTGGGGGGGTGGCCGGGTGCCGGCGCGTCCCTGCGGCACACCGCCCCGGGAGCCCGCCGGTCGATAGCGGCGAGCCGGCGCCGCAGCGGGGAAAGCAGCGGGACGGGGGGTCCGGCCAGAGCTGCCGCGGCGCAGGCCCCATCGGGGCGGGGGGCGGTGGGCAGCGGGAGCCGGCGCCTCGCGGGTGCAGCTCCCCCCCTCGCCCCCCGGCGGTGTGAGCCCGCTCGTCCGCCTGTCCCCGCCCGGCCCCGGCCTGGCCGCGCCGTCGGGCCCCGCTGCGCCTTCCCAGGCACAACGGTGCCATCTAGCGGCCAATGTCGGGATGCGGAGCGGCAGGGACCGCACCACACCGCGGGAACCGGAAACCCGTCTGGTCCACACGGTGCATGGGGGGCTACGGGACACCCCATCCATGGACACCATTCCCTCGGGACAGCAGCCATCCATGGAGACCATCCCCCGGGAAATCCCCATCCATAGACACCATTCCCTTGGGACAACACCCATCCATGGAGACCATCCCCATCCATAGACACCATTCCCTCGGGACAACATCCATCCATGTTGTTTGGGCCATCCATGGAGACCATCCCCATCCATAGACACCATTCCCTCGGGACAACATCCATCCATGGAGACCATCCCCATCCATAGACACCATTCCCTCGGGACAACATCCATCCATGGAGACCATCCCCATCCATAGACACCATTCCCTCGGGACAGCAGCCATCCATGGAGACCATCCCCCGGGAAATCCCCATCCATAGACACCATTCCCTTGGGACAACACCCATCCATGGATACCATCCCGATCCACAGACACCATTCCCTCGGGACAACATCCATCCATGGAGACCATCCCCCGGGACATCCCCATCCATAGACACTATTCCCTTGGGACAACACCCATCCATTGATACCATCCCCATCCATAGACACCATTCCCTCGGGACGACATCCACCCATGGAGACCATCCCCCGGGACACCACCACCTCGAGGGACACCGTGCCCCGAGGGGATCCCCCACTTTCCTCCCTAGGGGATACAGGGTCCCCCTGCTCCCAGAGAAAGGCAGTGAGGCCCAAAGAAGAAAGAAAAGCCTTTACCATATTTTCCCCCCAGATAACAGCAGCGTGGATCACCATGACCTGGGAATGGGGCAGGCGGACGTGGCTGGAGCCTCTGCTCCCGCATCCTTGAAGTCTTCTTCGGAAACACTCTTTTTGATGACTCAAATCCATGTGGATTGAAAACCTGGCTGAAAGCTCATAAACAAAGGGTAATTAGAAACAGGGGGAGGTGTTTATGGGGTACTGCAGGGATCTAGGCTAGGCCTGCTCTCATTTAATACCCTCATTAATGACCTGGAAAGAGGGAGTAAACTACACATTAACGGATTCGGCAGAGGATGCTGCGGCTGGGAGGTGCTGTGAACTCCAACAAGCACACAAAATTAACACCAAAAGGGCCTGGTGAGACCAGAAACAGGGGCAGAAGGAGCCGTGCCCTAAACAGCTGCATGCAAATGGCACACAAATGGGTGCAAATGGGAGCAATGATGGGCAGCCTGGTGTTGATCCAAGAGCCCATGGAAGCACCGGGATGCTCAGGTGTGGCTGGAGCCCATCAGCACCGATGCATTGGCTGCAGTTCAGAGGGAAGCCACACAAAGGATCAAAGGCACAGAGAGACTGATATCCAAAGGCAGATTAAAAGGCTTAAACATATATACCGCTTGGTTAAGAGCTGGCCATGGGGAGACAAACTTAAGAGCCTTATGGAATGGAGTAAATAGGGAGGGAAGGAATTATTGTCGGGAGTACAAGGGGCATCACCACAAGGAATGACAGGAAATGAAGAAATGGAGCGTGTAGGGTGAATGTCACAGGGGGAAAAAATCCCCTCTGCTGACAGGGATTGAGACGTGGATCCCTGGAGGGAAAGAGTTCTGTGGCTGGAGATAGTTAAAACCAGACAGGATCAGGCTGAATAGAAAGGGATCAGCCCCTGGCAGGGGATGAGCAGAAGAGCGAGAGCTGGGCAGGGACGTACCTCCTTTTCCAGGGCTTCTTCCACTGAAATTTGTCTTTCTGTATCACAGACCTGCATTTTGTTCTCCTTTTCAAATACCTATTTCTGCTGCTGTAAAGGGAACCACTGGCACAATGGATGCTGTGCCCGATGGATGCTGTACCAGGCCCTGTGTAGCTTGAAAAGGACCTGAAATCAGACACATTTCATCACCATAGAGGTATGGAGGGGGATTAAGTGACTGGTACAAGGGTTCTGAGTGGGTCTATGGTGTACAAACCCTGTGTCAGTGTCCCTGGAGCACAAGGTCCCCTGCAGGTTTGGCTTCTGTAGAGCATCTCACAGAATGGTTTGGGTTGGAAGGGACCTTAAGGATCATCTAAATCAACTAGAACTTGTATCTCAATGGCCTTCTGCAGATGGTCTCCAGGTGACCAAGGAGATGCCAGGCTGCACAGCACCTCCAACCTTGGCTAACGCTCCACCCTTTCACCCTCAGCTAACACTCAGCTTGCCAGAGGCTGCGGCAGGATCCCTTTGGAACAAACCAGGCATCGATTGCATGCCCACCCCTCCCTGTCTCCTGCCTCACTGGAGGTCTGCGAGGGCTGTCAACAAAACGGATTAATAGTCCTATTATCAGTTCAGATGGATAGCCAGGGCGAGGAGAAAACATCGCGTCCCAGGGAACTCAAGTAGGCACATTAATAAAGATGCCACAAGTTGGCTCTGAAACCTAAAAGCTTCACTCCGCTTCTTGCAACACAATTAGTTTATCCAAAGCCTGACTTTCCCATTGTGATGTACCTGTCAATGCCCACAGGGAGGTGCTGGCATGGTGGTCCCCATGTTCATGGTCACTGGGGAGCCACATCATCCCCCTTGGTACCAGCGTGCTGCCCCTAAGCATCAGGATGCAGGTCTGGAGGGAGCAGCACTGTGACCTGTCACTCACCCGGCTCACTGATGGGTACAGGAAGCATGTAATGAAGATACTGGCTCTGCCCACGCTGTAAAATAAGGAAAGCTTTTAATTAAAAGCTAGCGGTGCAGCTTGCAGCCCTTTGTTTGAGTGCTAATGCGAACGACTTTCCAGCCCAGCACTCGGAGCTCTCCCTTGTACCTGTCAGAAAGTAAATCTCAGGATCTCAAACATGTATATTTAAAACTATGGTATCAGCAGGCTGTCAAGCCTAAGGTTTTTATTCAACATCCCCTGTGCAGGGGGTGAGAGGGAAGGACAAGCAGGGGATGACACTGCAGACAGGGCAGCGCGATGCTCTCATCCGTCTCATCCCCTGTGTGTCTCCCATGTGCTGCTGCAGGCTGGTGGGGTCTGGGGCTCAATATCCACCCTACCTCTTTCCATAGCAAAGGCTTCCTGATGCCCTGCCTGAGCCACCATCCTCATCACTGCTGCAGCAACGGGGACCCATCTCCCCAGGCACCCCATTGCTCCAACACACATGCACAAAATAGGTCTAAATCTGAAGGTTTGTGTTAAACATCAAAGACCACCTTTATCTTTTTAATTTTTCAGAGCCTTTCTTTTAATTTCACATTTCTGAAGTGTTGTTTTTCCCCCTTTCCCGGCACCTTTCCCTTTCAGCTGCTGGGTGAAGTCAAATAAATGATGTAGGTTTATTCCCCCCCTTCCTTTCTTTGCTTATCCAGTTCTGCAAAACTTGAAAGCTTTTCAAAGCACCTGGGTGTCAGGAGTTACAGTTTAGGCTTGTGCTGCTTTTTTTTCCTCTCCCCTAGCAATGTTTCTAATATCACAGCAAAGCAGAAAGGAAACATAAAACCCCGTAGCACAGAGAAAGAAAATGAAGCAAGAGGAAAACACACAGCAAAATCCCTCAGCCATCAGCCAGCTGCTGCGCGTGGAGAAAGAGGAGGCCTGAAAGGAGAGAAAAGACAATATTGTTTGCATGGGGGGTGTCTGGAGAGT